AAAGAATCAACTCCATGCAAATGCTGTTTGGAAATAAACGAGACCAGCCGCCAGCGTACTTTCGTTTGATGACATACGCCTTGCAATATCGTCGGCCGCATTTGATTAGCTCCCTCGCGAAAGACCCATATCAGACGCGACTTGATGTGAGACTGCTCAAAGGAATATGACTGATGATACCAGTTGCAATTGGCCTAATCACCTCATCTTGTGCGAGCAAGTTCATCCGCGGCCTTCCGTGGGCAGCCGACGGGAGACCAGCTCATAGGGATGGGTGTTCCAGGTGATCGGTTTTCCAAACACTAGACGGCTGCGCGGTTACTGCCGTGCGGTTGGCGAAGCCAATCAAAATAGTAGCAGCGGGCTAGTGCCAGATGGTTTGCTCTATGGTCAAAACGCCCTTGGAAACTTCGGGTGTCTTTGTGTTGTATGTATGGCGGCTCAGGGGCCAAAGCTACAAGGTTTAAGTTGAAAGGTTCCCCATCCTCGCTCTTGCAGTTTCAATGAGAAGTAAATTTCCCAGAAGCGGACACTGCGCAGGAGGGTGTAGACTTTGGTGTACACCATTACCCTTACGCGAGCTGAAGAAGGAAATTGAAATGAAAATAGACGAGATAAACGGTAACACAAATTATAGCCTTCAAGTATTCCAAGAATATGCCAAGAACATGAGGGGTGCACTAGATGACTTGAAAGTTGGGGGAACTCCGATACATTGACGCATTAATACATGCCAACTTAGACTCTCGCACCTTGCAACACAACACCCCAACGACTAGCCTGATGACTTGCATATGGCAACCACACAACTCCAACTACGATATTACTGCTATTGTTTGTTGATGTCCGCAGAATAAACAGTGTGCGGAATCTCCACCCGCCCCGATTGGCATTTCGGAACGGAGTCTGGTGCATTTTGCTTCGGAGGAAGTAACGACAGCAAGACATGCCTAGCCTGGCAAAAGTTGATATTGACATGTCGTTTGTCCGAAGGAGCCGTTCATTTGACTAAGTGACCATATATATACACATGGCTTGAGAGCACTGTAGAAGCACGAGCTGTCACATCAAACCTACTGTTCATTCTAATAGCTACTGTTGCCAACGTCATTTCATTCTTCATACGACCGCAAGATTCATTGAGACCGCAATCATGACAACCGCTCAAGTACCTCCTAACCTTACCCAAGGTCACTTCTGGATGGGCTCCAAAAAGGGCGCTGCCAATGGCGGTGCTAACGGGTCTAGCCAGGACGTGGACACGCCAAAGTTCCTTCCCCCGAATATGACGCAGGCGTCATTTGATAAGTTCGCTAAGAAGGTCATTGATGTGGTCGGCGAGGACAATTTTCAAGTAATCACACCAGAGATGGATCTGGACGGCTACGAAGATGACGACTTTGGCCGCAACTGCCGGACACATGACTACTACCGCTCGTTTGACGATGAGCAGGAGCTGGTTGGATCTGCACTTTGCCATCCTCGAAGTGTCCAAGATATTCAAGCAATTCTCGCTGCAGCCAATGAGCACAAGATGCCACTTTGGCCCATCAGCACTGGCAGGAACCTCGCTTATGGAGGATCTGCACCAAGAGTACGTTATCATTGTCATTTTGGTTTTGTAAAATGGTTTGCCGCGTTCATGGTCCCATCGGAGTCATGTGGCACGTTTTCATAAACCTCAAGCTAACCTCATCTCATAGGTCCCTGGCTCACTTGTCATGGTTTTGAGCACGCACATGAACCGCATCCTTCACGTCGATACCACCGCATGCGTGTGCATCGTCGAGCCCGGTGTGACTTTCATGCAGATGAGTGATTACCTCAAGGAGCACAATCTCATCGACAGAATCCGTGTCGACTCATCTGGACTTGGATGGGGCTCCATGATTGGTAACGCCCTAGATCGCGGCGGAGGAGCTTCTTTGTACGGTGATCGCTGGGGAAAGCACAGCGGTATGGAAGTCGTTTTGCCCAATGGCGAAGTCGTCAGAATGGGCATGGGTGCCGTTCAGAGCCCCGAGGGCCGCAAGCAGGCCGCCGAAGGTGTTCACCCCGCCGATCAGGCGCTCAATGAGTGCTTCGCACTATTCCCGTACGGCTGGGGTCCGATGAACGATGGTATATTCTCGCAGGGTAACAGTGGTATTGTTACGAAGATGGGCTTCTGGGTAAGCATCTCGAGGCCGCACGTTCCTGAGTTTTCAATGATGCTCACACCGCACAGTTGATGCCGGCGCCCCAAGGCATGACCCCCTTCTCCATCACATTCGAGAAGGAATCAGATCTCAAGGCACTGGTTGATTGTATTCAGCCCCTCGACTTGGTAAGATTTTCTTATGTTCGCGAGAATTGATTTCGTCTAACAACTTACCAGAACGGCACCTTGCAAAGCTCGGTCAGTCTGCGCAATCTTACTCTTGAAGCTGCACACTACGGCCCCCGTTCCAGCTACACCAATGCTTCTCACAAGGAGGTCATCCCAGAGGAGGACTTTGAGAAGATGGCTAAGAAGCTCAACACCGGCCGCTGGCGCTATATCGGTGCGGTCTTTGGCTCTGACAAGGTCCGCGAGGCACTTATTGAGGACATCAAGCGTGAGATGACCAAGGTCCCCGGTAGCAAGTGGGCTACCCTTGATGAGAACCCCGACGAGCAGAACCTTGTCCGTGTTCGTGCCACATATCTGCAGGGCATCTCATCTATGGGTGAGTTTGCCTGGATGAAGCAGTGGCTACCAAACTGTTCCGTCATCATGGTGGCTGCTATCTCTAGATTGGAGGGCAGCGCCGTCTGGGACCAATACTCGCGGGCCAAGGAGTTGTTCGCCAAGGCTGGCATCGACTACATCAGCCATTACGTGGCTTACTTCCGCACTATGCGTAAGTCTTCCATGATAGAATATCTGTGCAGTGACTGCTGACACGAATTCAGATAACGTCTGCATCATTCCCTACGATCGCAAGGACAAGGATATGCGAGGTCGCGCACAGTGGCTGGCTCGTACTTTGTTGAAGGAGTGGAAGGAGAACGGCTGGAGCGTGTTCCGAACTCACGTCGGACTCATGGACCAAGTTGCCGATACATACGACTTCAACAAAGGTGCGCTGTGGAAGATGCACGAGGAGATCCATGATAACCTCGACCCCAACGGCATCCTAGCCCCTGGAAGAGGTGGTGTTTGGCCCAAGTCCTACAACAAGGACGAGTGGATGATGGGCAAGAAGTACATTGGTTAGAAGAAGGTTTCAGCATCTGATTTAGGCGTAAAGCAGTTGCATTGACAAGACTGCTGTATGAATTCTTTAATTGATGTGCGTTTCTATCATTGGAACCCTTTGGTCTACTCTGACATTTGGCATGCTCAATGCTTACAGCTGCTACCAAAGTCTGGCCGTGTTCCTGGTACACTGCTAGACGCGAGACGTGATCCATGTGACTATTCCATCCGCTGATTCATCGTGGCATGGAAAGAATAGTTTGACAAAGACTGTCGTCAGCCACGCAGACTATGTGGCATCTAGACTACGTGCACCCCTGCCGACATTGAGTGTGCATGATTCTAAATTAACGTCTTGCACGTTCAAAGAATGCCCTGATACCGGTAACGGTAACCCAGCCGATGACGACGACAGTTACGGCTAGCCGGATCTCTCTCGCGAGCCCGGCAGTGTTCGGGGAGAATTGAATGAGGTGGAGATGCTTGATAGCGCCGGAATGCGCCGACTGGAGTGCAAATTGCTCCATCTACACACTGTCAGTTATTCTGACCAAGTCTATGAAGTTTTAGCAGGCCACATACCTTGGTGTTGGATGAGGTTGTTGACGAGTGAGCTGAATATGCTGGAGGTTGGAAGGGCGAGGGAGAACTTTTTGGTGGAGATGATGGATTACGTCAACGAATCATAGCGTGCCGCTTGCGGGAAAGCTCAACACAACATCCAATCTGAGCTCCACATCATCCAATGATAGAGACGACAAGAACTTGGAAAGGACAACGGAACGATAAAATAAAATGGTTTCAAGGGGCAAGAGTAATTGCTTATATCAAGATTGAATCGCAATGTCCTATTTGAGGATGTAAATACATGGAAGCCGACCAACCATCGCAAGTTACCTTCCATTATGCAAAGTGGATCGATGTGCAGGCCGGAGGCCGGCGGAGAAATTTCGTTGTCCACGGGGAGTTGCGAAGTCGTTTCAGGACGAACTAACAGGTAGACTCTGAGTCTGATCTCTTTGTATTATTAGCGACTGGATGATTTTCAAGTCTTATGACAAAAGATCGTCAGATAGCCTGTTGATGAAGATCGATCAACGGGAGTACTGATTGACGCAAGTGTGGATTATGAATGTAAGAATTGCGACCTCGTCTGCGGTGTTTACGACGACTTGAGCTTCTCATTACAGCATGCATGCCCAGCACGCAATGCATCATGCAAGAGCGCAGGAAGCCAAAGTTGGAAGGTGATTTCGCCTGTGATCTGATTATCTTGGCAATATTTTAACCGACTGGCGATGCAACCTCGCAGGCCTAACTGTGTCGTAGTGCTGCTGACGGGTGATGATCCTACTGCTACGATAGTAAAATAGTCAAAGCCATTTCTTCACTTGTGGATTGGACCGATTCGGAACACACGTCCTTCACCTCAGGGATGGCCTCCTGTCCTGTGGTGCGAGGTTTGGATCAATCCCGCTCCCTAGACACAGCTTTGCGGCATGCAACTCACCCCGGTCTCCCAAGACCAGATCCCGTATTTTTGGTGTGATCACACCCTAAATAAGGAAGGTTGACCACATTGGTGACAGTGCAACCCTTCTTGCGCAATCTAAGCTACTGCATCCCAATGTAGCGACTTCAAATGAAGGTATTGATAGCGAGCTCTTGGGCATGACTGTGGTACATAAATATCATGATCTGCTGTTTGCAAAGATTTGACAGGATTGTACTTGAGCCACTACGCCTTTCTTCAGAAGTCTTCGCAAATTGTGACCTCGAAATGGTGCTTGCGCGCCAACTAAGCACTTGTTTGCTTGTTGGGCTCGTGGCCGGCCAACAGTCCCAAGATAACGCCGATCCGATCGCCGTCCGATACGCCAAAAGCTACATCGTGGAATTCGCAGATGTATGTCATATTCGACACCGAGCTAATCGAGAATGATTCCTGACGTAATAAAAGGACAAATCAAGTCGGCTGAGCTCACTTTCTTCAACCGATGGAGTTCGAATAGTGAAGCAATTTGTCAGCGAGATCTTCACCGGAGCTAGTGTGGAAACCGCCGACCTCACTCTTGAAAGTCTCTTGGAACTTCCTGACATTGTCAACGCCTGGCCAAATAATATTGTAAGCTTGGAGCCACTGACACAGGAAGAAAACACCCCGCAAGCGGTACCTGCGGTCGCCCATGTCGTCACTGGAGTCGACAAGGTGCACGAGAAGGGAATCTATGGCAACGGAGTAAAGATTGGAGTGGTGGACACAGGAATTTGGTACAATCACGATGCTGTAGGTTTGATGTTGTTCTGGGGCTTCTTTACAGTATACTAATGGATCTTGTGGTAGCTCGGCGGTGGCTTTGGAGAGGGCTTCAAAGTTGCTGGAGGGTTCGACTTCGTTGGTGATCAGTGTAGTGGCCCCTCGTAATTGATTATAAGAGGCCATAAAGCTAACAAAATTGCACAGATTGGCCATTTGTTGGCTATGAGAAGGAGCCCGACCAAGATCCTTTGGACCTGCTCGGACACGGCACTCATGTGGCCGGTATCATTGCTGGCAAGACAGAAGAGTGAGTTTGGCGTTCAGTTAGGACATTGATCTTGACCAAACATTTCTAATAAAACGATAAGCTTCATTGGAGTAGCTCCCGACGCCACTCTTTACGCCTACAAGGTCATGTCTCGCCAGGTGAGTCTGACACGGGATCCGTTTCAACGCAGTAGACTGAGCAGTATTCAGGGTTCCACCGACGCGGCCACTCTCATTGAATCGTTTCTAGCGGCATTCAACGATGGGGTAGATCTCAAATCGCCAGTATCAATCAATTAGCTTGATAGCTGACGTTTTCAAAGATTGACATCATAACCTCAAGCATAGGAGGCTCAAGCGGCTGGGCTGAAGAAGCCTGGGCTGTAGTTGCATCTCGCCTGGTCGAACAAGGCATCGTCGTGACCATCTCAGCTGCTAACTCCGGGTCCATAGGGCCGTTCTACGGTAGCAGTGGCTCGTCGGGCAAGAATGTTCTCGCGATTGCGTCGGCCGATGCTCCGGCCGTCAACACTACTCGCGCGTCCTCTTTCACCTCTTGGGGCTTGCTGAATGATCTTAGCGTAAAGCCTGACATCACAGCTCCCGGTGGCTCGATCTACAGCGCGTATCTTGACAACGGATGGACTGTCATGTCGGGGACTAGTATGAGCTGTCCATACGTTGCAGGCGTCGCTGCGCTCTACATAAGTGCTTTCGGAGGCCGGGAAGTGCATGGGAAAGATTTTGCATTGAAACTGGGCAAACAAATCATTGCCAGCGGGAATGTGCTCGCGTACCACGACGGGGCATACACCGACCTCCCGGCACCGGTGCCTCAGGTAGGCAATGGTCTCGTTGATGCTTTTAAGCTACTTCACTCCAATACGACACTGGATTTCGACCCCATCGCTTTGTACGACACAGTCAATTTCAGAGGGGACCATACGATTACTGTCAGCAACCGGGGCTCTGATGATGTCACATATCATACATCTCTTCAGGATGCCTATGGGGTTGAAACATTGCTGCTGGATGTTGCCAATGGCGACAAAACAGTGCGAAGCTTGTCAGATTTGGCGCCCCGAAAGCTCGGAGTTGATGTCAGCTTACCCGAGGATTTCACGCTCAAGCCAGGAGAAGAGAAAGCCATACCGTAAGTGAATCTAAATTCCCGAATCAACATGGTGCTTGCGTTAACGAAACATTGAAAGATTGAACTTCAAGAACCCTGAGTCTCATGAATGGGATTCGTCTGTCTTACCCCTTTACAGTGGAAAGATCTTGATTTCGGGAGACAACGGTGACGAGCTCTCCGTACCCTACGCAGGTCAGGCTTCGTGGTGATAGACTATGCAAGTATATTCACTGAACTCTCATTTCAGGTGTTGGAGCCGACCTCAAGAAAGAAATAAATCCTTTATTTCGGAACGGATTCCCATATGTTGTCTCCGGAGAACCGGCTCAGATTGGGAAAACAGCGTAAGGCTGCCAGTAACTAGAAGAAGCCTGATGAGAGCTGATACCTCTTTAGCTTCACTTTCAACCTAACACTCGGAGTTCAAGACTTCCCGAAGATCTTCCATAACATTATTTGGGGAACCCGTCAGCTTAGATGGGATGTAAGTTTAGAAGTATCGATATGGTCTCTGTGTAGATGCTCACACAGACGCTAGATATTCGAGGACGGATGGACCGAAAGTAATTGGACATATCCTCTAGTCGCTGGCGAGAATGGGTACATAGGATCGGGCGCATATTGGGCAGGCTCCGGCCAAGCGCCATTCTTTGATCCGAGCCGATGGGACCCCGACGACACACTATCGTATCCAAAGGTTGAACAGCCCCGGGGCAGCGGCAACTCCGAAAATTGGTGGTTTGGAAAGCTTGCGAATGGCAGCCAGATTGCATTGGGCAATTACACGTGAGTCACATTTGTCACCACCTTGTTCTTTTGCAGAAGAGACTCACACACGACTTTGGCAGAATTCGGTATGCTGCTCTCAAGCCTTTTGGTGATCCCGCCCAGTCTGAGGATTGGGCTACTTTCACGACACCTTTGGGGGTCCTTGGACAGTATTGAAAGAGAAGGGTATACGTGACAGGCACAGTCGTAGTTGATGAAGGGATAGTTGCCAGTATAGAATACCGCAGTGTTATCTGGTGTCCTACACATGTCCCAAACACTTCCCTCCTACATACAACCCCACCGGCACCCACTGTTAGTGCCGCGCCGGGTCCGCCACATCAACACTAACACTACCAAATCCATCCCATACAACTAGAACCCTCGCCCGCGATGGCCTCGCAGCCAGCCGCGGGCCCCTCGCAGGCCCCTAGAGGCCTCTCATCCTCTATACATAGCCTCCCCCGGACCCCCCCTCCCCCTACCTCCCTACCTCCACGACCGAGGGGCCTCACGCCCCCCCCTATCCGGCCCTTGGGAAGGGGGCCACGATCGGCCGCCGCCGCCCTCCAGCAGGCTCGAGAGGGTCGGGCCCTCCGAGATGAGGCCCTAGACCTCCTCGCCAAAGGCCTAGATGCCCTCATTGGGACGGCCCCAGCACGACTAAAGGCTACAGCCCAGGACCTCATCGATACCTTTACCCGGTTTGCGACCGCAGAAATCTCTGGACCCACCCCCGGCCCCGGCACGGGAAAAACGTATGCCCAGGCAGCTAGTGACTCTACCGCTAGCGGCCCCGGCCCCGGCCCCGGCCCCGGCCCCGGCCCCGGCCCCGGCTCCGGCTCCGGCCCCAGGCCGAACCCAGTAACAGGCTGGCGGGCCACCAGCTGCATACGCCAGCCTAAACAGACCCAGGACCTCCGCCTACTAGTTCGGCTCCCGGCAGAACATATACCTACCTCCAGAACCCTAGCCCCTCACTCAGTTAAGATGGTGGTAACAAAGGAGCTTAACTTACAGCCGCAAGACCTAGTTGAGGTCCGCCATACTGCTACAGGCTTCTCACTTCAGCCCCAAAACAAGGAGATCCAAGCCTTACTTCTTCAGAGAGCCCTTAAGATCAAAAACTGCCTTACAGCTGAGAAGGTTGAGATACCTACTAAGTGGCATCAGTATATCGTCCCATTCTGCCCCCTCTACTTTACCAGCCTTGATGGCAGTAGGGTTAGCATAGAATCTGAAATAGAGGAAGAGGTCTTCCTAAAGACAAAGCAAAGACTCCTCTCCTGGCGCCCAACCCGAGATAGCCCCGATCTAGCCACAGCTACACAAAGCCTGATTATCGCCCTCCCTCAAGGGGTTAAGGGAGGCTTCCGCCTGTTTGGACAGTCAGGCCCTGCCCGTCTGCTTCCCCCGAGGAAGCAGACCCCCAAACAACACTCCCCTGGCTGCCAGGGCTTTCACTCAAACCGCTACTGCACCCGGAAACCCCTCTGCGAGAACTGCAGCAAACCGCTAGATACTCATGAGGCTGGGAGCTGCTTAGCTAGGTCTAAGTGTGCTAACTGCTATGGTCCCTTCCCAGCAAGCCATGCAGACTGCCCAGCTAGGCCTCTGCTGGTTAATGGAAACCTAATTATCCCAACCCGGAAGGAACTGCGAGGTATCCGGATAGCTGGAGAGAAGGCGTCTGATGATCTCCTAGCTAGCCGGGCCTGCGCCCCAGGCAGCACACAGCAAGCCAGGGCTAAGCTAAGCGCTACACAAGAGCAACAACTGGCATCCAAGCGCCCTCAACCCCTCACACCCACACAAGACTCAATTGTTATTGCAGATACTGCTAGTGTAGCTGGGAGCAACAATATGGATGAGGATGAGGCTGAAGACTCTGAAGCCCTCCCCCCCCTAACTAACCGCCCTATCCATCCACTCCCAAGCAGCAGCAGGAGCCAGAGGGTAGCCCAGAAGCCTGACTGTAATGTTGTTAATGCCTACACCCACCTCGACCTCGACTCAGAGCTATAGGCTCAGGCCAGCTACCCCACAGGTACTACGAGTTGCCCAGTGTAATGTGGGGAAGAGGAGCCCAGCCTATACAGCTCTCTTGGAGCTCTGCTGGGCAGATCAGATCGACATAGTCCTGATACAGGAACCCTGGGTAGGCTATAGAGATAAGATGCAGATTAACACACACCCAGGCTTTAACTCCTATGTACCAGTTGACTTCTGGAACAGCAGAGACATAAGGCCTAGGGTTATGACCTACACACGTAAAGGTCTAAGGCTGCAGATACAGCAACAAAGACCTACCCAATCAAGAGATATCTTATGGGTGAAAGCTGGCGACCTCACTATTATGAATATATATAGGCCGCCAGATGAGCCTATAAACCAAGCAACCAGCCTCCTTTTAGATTATCAACCGCCAGAGAGAGCCCTTATCGCTGGGGACCTTAATGCCCGCCACTCCTCTTGGGAACCTGGGACCCCTAGCTGGAACCAGGGCGACGATATTGCAGAGTGGGCTGAAGTCTATGATCTGTCGTTTATTGGAGAAGTTGGGGCCCCTACCCATACTCATGGGCATACCCTCGACCTGACCTTCTCAAATATCCCCTTTGCTGAAGCTTATATTAGCCCACACCTACACCCAGGGGCTGACCACCAAGCTATTACAACAATTATCCCTATAGGCAAGGCCCAGGAACAGGGACGCCAGACTAGCCACCTCTCAGTCCCAGAGTCAGCCCTACCCCGATTTATCGACCTAGTAAAGGCTGGGGCTGCAGCCCTGCCTACCCCAGGGGAACACCTAAGCCCAGCGGAGCTGGACACTCTAGCTGCCCAACTGGTTAGTCTCTTCCACACAGCCGTTCAAGCTGTAGGTAAGAGACGGACTAACCAGGGCAGGGGAGCCCCCTGGTGGACAGAAGACTGCTCAGAAGCCCACCGAGCTGCTATTAAGGCTAGGCGCCAACAGGCCTAAGAACCAGGGCTAGTTATACCTCCCCCTGTCCTAGAGGAGCAGAAAGTCTTCCTGACAACCGTCAGAAGGGCAAAACGCGCCTACTGGATAGCTAAGATTGAAGAGGTTAAGATAGACCAAGACCTGTATAAAATCTTAGGCTGGCGGAAGTCTAGCTTAGCAGTTAAAGCCCCACCTCTCATAGTAGAAGGACGGACGATCAGCAATAGCCTCGATAAGGCTCAGGCCCTTCGAAAGGCCTTATTAGAGCGATTTAGTGCTGCAGACGACTTACCTGGGAACCCCTTTTCTATTCCAGTAGTCGCAAGGCGTCTTATACCCTGGCAGGATACAGTTAGTATGGAGGAAGTACGCCAGGCTACTCTAACAGAGACTACAACCCCTGGGACTGATAGGATTACTACAAAGTTACTATAATGCACCTGGGGTTTAGTAGCTAGGCCTATACAGCAGCTCTTCCAGGCCTGCGTACAGGTAGGCTACTTCCCTAGACCCTTCCGCAAAGCAGAGGTTGTTATGATCCAGAAGCCGGGGAAAACAGACTTCTCTAAGACTGGGTCTTAGCGCCCGATATCCCTGTTATCCTGCTTAGGCAAAGGCTTAGAGCGGCTGATAGCAAAAAGGATGGCCTACCTTACTATCCTAGAAGGGGCTGCCAGCCCACAGCAGGCTGGAGCCCTACCAGGGAGGGCTGCAGTTGACCTCACAACCTGTCTAACCCATGAGATTGAGAGGGCTCTAGATACAGGGCTTACTGCGACGCTAGCAACAATGGACGTCAAGGGGGCGTTTGATTCCGTCTTACGAAACCGACTTATTGTCAGGCTACGACAGCAGGGCTGGCCTAGCAGCCTGATCAGACTGGTCTACACCTTCACCTCCAGCCGAACAGCCTGCGTCAGGCTAGAGGATACTACTACTGAGGACTTCCCTCTTTCCTGTGGACTACCGCAAGGCTCTCTGCTGTCACCTATCCTCTTCCTGCTCTATATAGCTGATATCCTAGCTGACGATCAGAAGCTACGGTTTGGCTATGCAGACGATATAGGCTTAGTAGCTACTAGCCCCTCGCTAGAAGAGAATGCTACAGCCCTAGGCCAGGAGATCACTAGTATCCTCAGCTGGGGAACGGAAAATAAAGTCGCCTTTGACCCAGCTAAGTGTGAGGCAATCCACTTCAGCAGAAAACATAAACAGACAACAGACCTACCAGATATCTAAGCGAGAGGCCTAACTATTAAGGCCTCAACTAAGCCTATAAGATGGCTAGGGGTCTGGTTTGATAGGAGACTCACCTTCTAACACTATGTAGCAATAAAGGTAGCAGCAGCAAAGAAGGTAGCCTATTTCCTACGGCACCTAACAAACACTAAAGGGGGGCTCCCAGCAGTTGCAGTTCGAAAAGCAGTTCTTGCTTGCGCCCTCCCAATAGCCCTATATGGAGCGGAGACCTGGTATGCAGGCCTGACCAGACCAGCCCTGAACAGCAGCACCAATACTAGCAGTAGCACTACTCTACAGATAGCTACAGTTGGCACAGGACAGAAGGGCCTAGCCTGTAGAGTTGGAAAAGTTATCACAGCAGCAGCAAGGGCTATCCTACCTGTCTGGAGGACCACACCAACCAGTGCCCTCATCCGAGATGCTGGCCTACCTACAGCAGAGGTAGCCCTTGAGGCAGCGCGACTACGCTTTGCTACACGCCTACAGAAGGTTGACCAACAACATCCCTTAGTCCCAAGGCTTCTGCAGCCAGGGCGGCAGCAGACCAGGCTCCAAAGAACAGCTGGCCTCTTACCCAAGTGTCCAAGGCCAGCACTCCTACAGCTGCAATACCTCCCAGGGTCCTATAACCCTATAGCCACAAAGACGAAGGAAATAGCAGCGAGGATCTTCCAGGCCTGGCTTAAGACTGTACCAGAGAAGCATACTATTATCTACTCAGACGGCTCTAAAGCCCCTAATAGCGCCACAGGGTTTGGCTTTGTTATATACCATAAGAACAAGCGTATAGCCCAGGGCTGCGGCCGCCTCGGCTTAGCAGAAGTGTTTGATGGGGAGGCTGAGGGGGCGAGGGCAGGGCTCCGACGAGCCCTCCTTACCTCCCAGGGCCAGCCTATACACATCTGTATCGATAATACCAGCGTTATCCAGGGGATCCGAGGCAGGGTCCCAGACTCCTCACAAGCTGCCTTCCTTGAGATCCAAGAGGCAGCTAGGATGTATGACATACGAACCCATTGGTCCCCAGGGCACCAAGGCATCAAAGGGAACGAGGAAGCAGACAGCCTAGCCAAGGAGGGCACAACCCTGCCAGCCCCTAGGGGCCAACTAGCCACCCTGTCAGGGATCAAACGGCTAGCTAGAGAACGCATATGCCGCCAGTATAGAAAATGGTGGAAGCAAGAGGCAACACCCCGCTACACCCAACTAGGGCTTAAGGCTTCCCTCGCCTGCCCTCCTGAACTAGCCCTACCACGGGCTATACTCCATCATCTCCTAGCAGCCCGGTCAGGCCATGGAGACTTCGAACAATACCATCAACGCTTTAACCATACAGAAGCACTGCTTACCTGCTCCTGTGGGGAGGCAAAGGAGGTAGACCACCTAGTCTACTGCCGAAAGACCTTAGTGAGGAGGCTTCAGTGGCCCACCCTCCACCCTTCTAGTCCACAGGAGCCTATAGGACCAATAGGATCTCTTGATCGGTACTACAAGGGGCTAACCACTGATCATGAAGGCTTCTGGGCCTTTCTCTGCGTGACAGACTTCTTCCAGAAGATCTGCCCGCGGTACTAGGGCCTAGGCCTGAACCTAGGCCTTAGTAACGAACCCCCTCCTCGTAGAGGAACTGACGAGTATAATGGAACTAGGGAACCAGCGGGAACTAGGGACGGATAGAACACGTAGCAGCCTATAGGCAAGATTTGGAGGACGTTTGGAAGAGGCGTGTACTGTAGAGTATATAGCTTGAGCCTGCGGCCCTCCACGCCATATACCCCTCGGGAGGTCGGCCGCAAGGGCGGCTGCGCCTTTGCCGCCACGGCGTTAAATAGAACAACAACAACAACAACACATGTCCCAAACTGACCAGCGACGTTTACCCCTTAGTGAGAATAATTCGGCGACAAATACGGTTTTAATTCTGCCCAAATTGTTCTTCCTTTCGCATTTGCCACAACGAAATGGGGTCGATCATCTCAGCAGGAAATTCTAGGAGCTCAACTGCATGTGAATGTGATTCAACCTGAACCAGTATCTCAGGCTCCTGAATGATATGGAGATTGTATCGCGTGTACTTTTGAGCAACCTTTTGCCAATAGTGTATCATGCTGGGTTCCATGTGCAGATTCCAGGTTCCTTTCCAACTAACAGAGGTTGAACCGGATTCCGCACAGTAGATAAATTTGCATGCTTCACTCTGAACACTGTTCCACAGCGTCATAGTATGGAGACAAGGCATTGATAGCGCAGCTGCAGCAGCACTCTTCAAAGTGCTTGATATTACATCTGGGTGATTAGTTTGTGTGAGCGTTCTTGCTGTAAGGCAAGGCAGACTCAAATGTTCCCAAATCCACTCTTACTGACATGACTGAAAGAAGTCGTTCGAGTCAATCAAGAATGCAACTGGGAGCTTTTCGAAGTCGAGGCTCCTCTTTGCAAGATACAACCAAGAATTGGCAGCTCGGATCGCCAAACGCCAGACGTGAGAGGTTTCAACCAACGGTGCGCCTTCAAGATGCATTTGTCTGTGTTCTCGAAGATTAAGACGCGCTTGAGTGACCGTGGCAAATGATACTTGCTGGTATCGAGATCTGAGGATTCAACAATTAGTACTTGTCCACTAGAAATAAATAATAGCTGTCCAAACTTACAGCTGTCATAGAACCCTTCTAACATCACTAACGATCTCTGCCAGGGTTCATAGACCACTGATTGTAACCGCGGAAGCCTATTGAATAGATGTCCCGGAGCTTTAGGATCAATCTGTCTTCGGCACTGTCGACGGAATATGAATTTGGTAACGCCTTTACCAGAGGGACGTCGTCCTGGGAAGAGAAAAACAACGGTAGCAGTTCAAAGATTCTTTGACACTCTCCAAAGGTAGATGCATCAATCTGGCGACCATTCACCCAACCGTGGTTGGCGTCATCCCATGGATGGTGAGCATTGACAGTAAGACAATCCTGAACAGAGCTGCTCGAATGAAGCTCCTCATTTTCACCGTGACCCCCAAAGCAAAGGTTCTTGAAGCGATGCTGCCTGTCGCTCGGAGACCGGATGCTCAATTCCAGTGACAACTCGGCTCCTTCAACAACTGAGCAAGTACAGAAAACAATCTCCCGATTGCGTTTCTAACAAAGTTTCGGTTGTGTTCCATTTCTGTGCTGATTGCCATGCGACCACAATCTCGACATGTATACTCCGGCAACTCAATATTAAGCCAAACCTGTCTGGTTAGCTTTGCTTGTCTGGGGCCAACGATGGTTTGCATTTCGTCCAAACACCGCACTCCCAGTTTCAGTCGACGGAAGCTTTCCTTTTCCAGGACTTTCTGCCATTCCTTATTCACTGAAGCGCAGGCACCCCAGCCGGATGTTTGTTGCGTAAGAAACTCAAGAATTAACTGTCGAAGCTCCAGCGGAAGAGACGTCCAATTTGTTGGTTGCAACGATAGTGTTGTTCCTAGCTGCCATTCTTCCATAACACTCATCTCCATTTCAGTCTTGTTCAGGTTGCTATTCCGGGAACAATACGATGCATCTTGCAGACTCACCACACAACTCTCTTTCTAAGAAACCAGGGATGTAACCACCTTCGTTGGAGAGCATAAAGAAGATGCGGCTGAGATATTCGACGAGGTCATATCATATGGACCGTGTGGTAAGTATTGTTGTGTCGGTAATGGTCAACAACTGGGGGCTGACGATTTTAAGGGTTTAAGGGCGTGTTCGCATCTCCATTTGTCACTTACTGTGCTGCTTTTGCGGCCCTCGGAGGATTCCTATTTGGCTACGACCAAGGCGGCAAGTGATACGAATCAACAAAGGACTTACTCAGTTTTATTAACCGACCGCTAGCTATCTCTGTGACACTTGAGCGAGTTCCTGGACCGCTTTCCCGAAGTGTCAGATGATGCAGCCGGTTCGGGTTTCAAGAGGGGCCTGATGACTGCTATGATTCCGCTTGGTGCTTTTATCGGAGCTCTCAATATGGGCTGGCTTGCTGACTGGACCTCCCGAAAACGATCCCTGATGGTTGCCGTGGTCATCTTTATTGTAGGATCCTCGATTCAGACCGCAGCAGTCAACTACGATATGCTCACTGCCGGGCGCTTCTTTGGCGGAGTCAGGATTGGAATGTGAGTTTCAGGAGGTAATGTTGTAAACTTCTAAGCTAATTCTGTCACAAAAAGGCTTTCGATGATTGTGCCTGTCTATATTTCCGAGATCTCACCTCCGGAGATTCGTGGGACGCTTCTGGTTTTTGAGGAACTATCAATCGTCGTGGGAATCATTGTTGCCTTTTGGATCACAGTAAGTGGATCTTTGCGATAGTTGCCTCTAGTAACAAAGATTATTAAGTTAGTACTAGTACGCGACCAAAGACATTCCGAATCATTTGTCATGGCAGTGTCCCTTCCTCATCCAAATCATCCCTGGAGTTTTGTTGGGCATTGGTGCGACCTTTCTGCCATACTCGCCCCGGTGGCTTGCCTCCAAAGATCGACACGAGGAGTCACTGGCTACATTAGCCTGACTCAGAGGTCTCCCGCAAGAAGACCCCCGTGTCCGTCGGGAATGAATCGACATCGTTGCCGAAGCTCGTTTCCAAGCCATGGTATTGAAAGAGCGGCACCCAAGGCTTACAGCAAGCCCGGCTATCTCAGATAAGATCAAACTGGAGGTTGTGTCCTGGACAGACTGCTTCAAAACCGGATGTTGCCGCCATACTCATGTCGGAGTTGGCATTCAAGCATGGCAACAATCGGTTGGAATCAATGCGCTCATATACTACATCCCCACGTTGTTTGCAACCATGGGTCTGGACTATAACATGCAGCTTCTCATGTCTGGTGCTCTGAACTGCGTTCAGCTTATGGGAGTTCTGAGCAGTCTTTGGACACTGGACCGATTCGGGAGTAGGAACATCCTCCTGCTTGTTAGCGTCTGCATGTGTCTCTCCCATGTAGTCATCGCCATCCTTGTGGGGAAGTTCTCCCACGATTGGCCGAGCTATCTTACAGAGGGTTGGGTCAGGGTGGCGTTCTTGTTTGCGTTCATGCTGAGCTTCGGCTTCTCATGGGTAAGTTCAGCTTTAGCTTTAGACCCTTCATGCTATGCAACAATGACTGATGATGACACAGGGACCAATTCCATAGGCACTGCCGTCTGAAGTCTTCCCCTCTTCCCTCCGAGCCAAAGGCGTTGCGATTTCGACTTGCGGTAGTAAGTTAGTCCATACAGGAATTACTTCGATAACTGTCTACTAACCTATAGGAAGGCTGGCTATGGAATTTTATCATAGGTCTCATTACGCCTCCCTTGATTAAGGGAACTGGGTTTTGGACGTATGTGTTCTTTGCGACATTCTGCCTTGGCTCTCTGCTTTGGACCTACTTCTGCGTGCCGGAGACAAACGGTAGAACCCTTGAAGAAATGGATAAGGTCTTTCATGATCGCATGGGAGCTTCTGATATCGAGAGAAAGAACCAAATTCTTGAAGAGTTTATGGAAGAGCAGAGGCAATCTGGCCTGAGACAGAACATTTGAAATGGAGACTTCAGACCGGAATATAATCGATCTAATGGTAATGCTATGAACGGCGGATAAGACCAGTCTATCACACGGGTATCAATGGGCGGCAATTAAAGATTGCAAGTAGACTGCGCAGTCTGTTTCGGCTTCGTGGCGATATGTTAGGTCCAGCCCGTCTTGGCCGAATCTCAACCTGACAGTGCGGCAATTTGTTGTGGAAGGCTAGGATGGACATCTACACGCCTTTTCTGTAGACCCTCTTTTGGATTGCCCAGGCTGCCACTTGCAGTCATGTGAAAGAATTGTCTACTTTTAGTCATATCAATCTCGTTCGCATGGCTGAACTTCATTGTACACATTTTGTGAATCCTGAGCTACTGCGATATTTGCGAGACTGTCTTGCTGCTTGCAATCTAATCCTCCCGGCATCCTACGAGCCTTTGATCATTTGAAGACGAGTCAGATGTTTCGTGAGCTATTCACGAGTCATCTCCCATCATCCAGCTTCGGAATCCGAAGGAGCGCATCGGGCCGTGGTCTGATTGACCGAGATGACCCTAAGCAGAAGTCATCCTGGGCATTATTCGAGCACCCGGACTTAAACGCCAAAAGCTGACAGTTTTGGAGTTTGCATGACTACTTCGCCCTGGTCTCGGGCAGAATCCCGCAGTTCTGGTCTGGATCAACGTGGACAAAGTTGAGGGTCGCTACGAATCAGGGGACGAAAACCCTCGAGAGCAGTGTCTGTCACGGCATTCAAAGTGTGTCCCCTTGTGTATTGTCAAGAACAACTGGTGCTTGGCTCTTTCTAATTACGGACAGGGTCATAAACACGATGGCTGCGATGTGATTACCGACCCATCACTTAACCCACTTCCCGTGGATAGGAAACAATGATGATCCATGATACCCCGACTTCTTGGCGACTCTAAATGACTCCATGGGGCACCGGTGAAACCCGGGACAATCCTTTGGATGATCTAGAACATGGGCTGACACCCGGGGAACTTAGAGTGTGCAAAGCTTCGTGTGCGATCTGAGATCGTCCCAAATACAATTTGATTACCAAATCGGTGTAGGGCGCACCTGAATCTGACTTCACGGACCCGGGGAATCAAGTCGGAGTACCATGCTCCGTTACCCAGCCGACCCGAAAACGAGCCGAACAGCTGCTATCCTTGACGATAGCTTGAGCTTCCTGTAACGGGTGTCATCTGCCCACACACATGGACTTGCTGCTCCAAACCTTGAAAGTGATTATGATGCCAACAAACCATTGGGACTTTCTGTAGTTATTTGCATAATCGACATTAAGGGGTATATGAAATACACGAATCTGCCCAGACGCTGAAACGCTCATACTGTCTATGATCGACAACCAACATCGCTGGATAGTGTCACAGCTTTCGACAAAGAAAACGCTGGCTGTACCGATAAGGTGACCCCAGCAGATCGAATTGCCTCAATAACTCCCGACAATGCATGTCCGACCCAGCTCTCAAATACTTCCGACGCTATGAGCTCGTTCCTTGTCAATACTCTCAATCGACTGTGCCCTTCCGCCATGTTTCTTCGAACTCGGGTGACCGTCCATTTCAATAACAACCGTCGTCACGGTCTCCATCTGAATTCCTTCTGTTGCCCCGCGCCTCCGTAGTGACTCTTGGCTGATACTTCTGTGTGCGCCACTCCGACGGTGACCATCCCTCATCAAACCCCGGCCGCTTCCCCTGCGGAACAGCTTCCGTAGCCAACCGCCAGTGCCCTCATCCCCGTTTGATACGTGTTGGGGTTGACCGTCTCCGCCCTGGACCCAGACCATATTACCGTACCTGCGGTTCGCTGGAGTACGCATGAACGCAAATGTTTCGATGCCAGTCTCCTCGTAGTCTGGCGAGGCGTTGAAGATAATGACGTGACGGGTCGTGGAAAAGAGAAGCACGTCAAGCCAGCCATTTGAGGCAATCATTGAGCCAGCCAGACAGAAGTACTCCAGGGAGACTGACCTGCCCGACATGGTTATGACACGACCCATGGCCAAGGGCGCAGTGCAAAGGATATAGATAATGGGGTAAATCAAGAAAGCCGGGTGATGGCCGGCGCTGCTAGATGATGTGGCGGGGCCTTGCTGCCCAGACGAAGTTTTGGGACGACTAGGTTGAGATACTGTAGACATGGTGTGTGCATGATCGAGCTCGCGGCCACGGGTGGTCTTCGAGGCGGAGGAGTTGTTTGAGGAGGAGGGGAGCTGAAGGGAGGGATCGGTGCGGCGGATGTGGTTGAAGATGAGTATGTAAAGGACCGCCGTGACGAAGAAAGAGACGAACATCCAAAGGTAGTGGAGGTATAGACGCATGGCCTCATAACGGACGTTGACCCAGCACTGGAGCAGGAGTTAGTCGGGAAGTTGAAGGGATTGTGTTGGTGATCCATACCCAGGCAGCAGCGCGAACATAAAGACCTCCGTCATCAGCGCCATTGTTGGTGATGATTACACCCGCTACAGCCAGAGCGTAAACAAAGAACCAAACGAAGAAAATCATGCTGTAAAAGAGCCATGTCGGAAGCTTGTACTCTCTGACAACGGCCAAGTACGTATGGACAGCGATGGTGGTGATGAAGGCACTGGACGCCAAGTCGCCAGTAGAGATGAACCACCCTTGAGCCCAACAGGTCGAGGTCTCAACAATGATGCCGTCCTTTGTCAACCAGGCTGCGTTCAGCAAGAATGCGAGGGCTTGTTGGATATCAGCCAACAGGAGGTTGTAGATGAGCACTAGAAACTGGTTGGGTGCGACCCGTTTTGTCTTGTTCTTCTTCCGGCTGCCGGCATAGACCGTGTCCGGCAGACCCATCTCCTCCGCAAGGGCTGCATCCGGGTTCCGCTCCCCCGTCATACGCTCCGGCGTTTCGGAGGCTGGCGAAAGGTACCATGACACTAGTCGGTATGTCAGAACAAAGAAGAGCGCTGTCGTCGTGAGGAACGAGAGGAATCCGAAGAAAGAAACAGCCGTCAGCCCGTGTCGGAGTACGCTGGGAAGTGGCGTTAGAGTCTGGCTGCTGGGGTCCATTGTATTGGCGCGCGAAGGTGGAAGCGCCGGGTGGCGCGCGAGACAGGCGTCGTGGGTTCAACTCGTCGACAGCCGCCTACCTTAGCGATGAACTTGACATCCAGACCAGTGGTTTGGATGATGACAGACTTAGCTGTCGTGATATCGTGACACCGTCAATACCGGAGAATGATGAGTTCATCCCAAAAGCTACATCTGGGCAGAAAGTGGCTGCAAGCCAGATCATAAATGATCTCAAAAAGCGATGGTCTGGCCCCGAACCTAAGCCTACGGATACGGAGGCCAAGGTTGACGATCGTCGGGACCCTGTCCCTGGATGCAAAGTCCCTCACTTCTAAGTGGATGGAGAAAAGAAGGCAGGCCACCAAATCCATGATGGGATTTGGTTCTGCAGATGACTGACTAGCAGGGGATTTGAACCATGTCGGCATGGATGAGTTCCGTACGTAGAGCTCATGAGGAATCATGTGGGAAGGGGTCTTGTGGGTCGCTTTTGCCCAAAAGAAGCGACAAACCCGTGAGATCGGTCGTCTTCCCCATCGCAGATAAACCCATGTGTAAAATCAAAGACAAGTGAAGGAAATGGGGGAAATGAGGGGCGGTTTGCGTTCGCCCGTCTGGGGAAAGTGTTCCTGTGGGTGATGTTTCATCCGCAAATGTTAACCTCAACTGCCAGCTGCTGTAAGCTTTCCATGACATCCGTCACCCATGTTGTCATTTCAATCATCGCCAGTAAAGTCGTTGCAAGGAGAACTACAAATACCACGCTGAGGCCGAGACTTCTTCAAAATAAGAAAGGATGGGCATTGCGGTCGCTCAACACGGCCGTAGAGGCTGGACTCTTCCACGACCATCCATCGCTCACATCTCATTTCGCAAGGGGTAATGAGTGAAGGCTTTGCTCATGACAGGGCCCTGCCACGAGGGCTGGCTGAGCTAACGCTTGGCGAACTGATGCTAGCAATACTAGCCAAACCTTAGCTGAGCGCCACTGCACGCTGTGATTGGAGAATTTCGCATCGTGGTCAGGGGCAGCTTTGCCCCCTTTGTAGGGTTGGGCGTCATGAGGAACCCGCCAGCATGAATCTGACATCGGACTGTTGCTCAAAGTCCCATAGTTGGGCTGTATTGATGGTGCGATAATCAAAAGCCTAGAATCTTTCTTGTGGGGGTTTCACTGTTGCCTATTGCTATTGAATCCACTGTCTTTTACGCAATCGAGGACAGGGTTTTGTCTCCTCTTTACTGCGTCTTCAGCTCTGTTCCTGGAAGCCCACGTTGTGGGTTCTGACGCTAGGCCGAAGCTGGTCAGCTTTAACGAGAATGCGACGCGCCAGGCCAGGAATGTGGCGTCTAACAGTTTCTTAGCTCACCACGCGAGCTCGCAACCATCTGGTCTAGGCTGTTTCGGAATGTTCTCTCCTCGCTCATAGCATCGTCTTAGCACGAGTGAAAATCGCAATTTTCAACGTTGGAGCTAAGAGACGCAAGAAATTTCTGTGGTTGGATTACGAACATCTCGGCCGTTTTGCAGGCCTTCAACGTGTCTGACCGGGGATCTCTCCGAGGCTTGCGGCCATAGCTCCGGCTCTTCTGCTGTTGGCTTGTGTCAAACTGTCTATCAATCAGGCGGGTGGCGGCGCCACTTCACCGATCATCTCGCATTCTGCCGAAATGTCAAATCTGATCGATCAGTGACTGCTGAAGAAAAAGAAACGCGGTGAGCTGTTGGTTGCTTCCAGGCTAACCTCACTCATCATTCGTTGCCCTTACCATTTTCTCATACACAACCCAGCCCAGTCACAGATTTTGATGAGCAGCACGATCCATTCTGCTGCTGTCTTCGTATGATTGGATCGTAAACGCAGGCAGTTGTCATGACTTCGAATCACCGGGCGGGCCGCTTACACGATCGATGAGAGTGGATCCATAATGTGGTGTTGG